ATGTTCTCGATTTTATTGAATAGTTGAATCAAACTAATAAGTAAAAGGGACGAAAACGTTTAATCTCATGTTCTTTTTTTTTTTTTAGTTACTAAAATAATTATCTGAAATATTACTATGCAAAATTGAATGTTCTTAGTTTAAAAAATTGAAAAAAATTGATAATACTATCAATTTTATAAAATAGAACTTATTGGTTCAAAAAATCTTAGATAAGACATTAACTACCATAACATTTATAAATAAGACTTTTAAGTAATTAACTCATTAAATCATCATTCCACAAAGTATTACATTTCAAGGATCGCGTGGAACTCTCATGGCCACTTACACACTATAATATTTACAAACAAGAGTGGCAAGGCTGAGTGAAACGAAATGAAAGAGTACGGAACGCAACTATATTTCTTTGAAAAAATAATATAAAAATAATTTAGTGACTAAGCATAACTTTTCATTATAAAATTTTAAACTCCAACAGTGTGCAGAGCCAGATCCAATCATAAAAATAAATAAACAAAATCCTAAAGCTAAGTATGACTATCTATTAAAATATCAGATTCCTACTTTCAACACAGGCTAGGTGAAGTTAGAAGTAAAAGCTTGCAAGCATTTGAACAAGTCCAAAATTGCAAACACAAGGTGGATATGAGTATAAACCCTCACCTGGCACTACAGGAAAATCGAGATTTAGCGGCGTTTTTAAAACGCCGCAAAAAGTGTTAAAAACGCCACAAAAAATAAGACGACGTTTTGAAAATTCGTCGCTAATACGGCCGCCGTCATATCTTTGTGGCGTTTTGAAAATGCCACCATAGACTTTAGACGACGTTTTTTAACAGCGTCACCAATTCTATACATCCGTTAACTATTTCCGTCAGAGGAGTTAACATGACGAAATTATGACGTCATTTTGCGACGTTTTTCAAAAACGCCACCTTTACTTTTTTTTCCAAAAAAAAATCAAATGTATGATATTTCAACTTCTGTTCAAAGCAAACCTTTTTCCTCAAAAAATAAAATAAAATAAAAATAAAATAATAATAAATAACAACCAACCTATAATCCATCACCATTTTCAAAACATATACCATAATATGAGTCAGTATTCCAATTTTCCATAACCAAAAACAAAAACCTCAAATCACATTATGTTAATACAAAAAAATAAAAATAAAAATAAAAATTCCTAATACTCTCATTTTAATTAAAAAAATAATAATAATATGGAGTGTGCTTTGCTATTTAGCTTCAAAGGTGCTCTCTCCTCGAAAAACTTTGCCTCCAACTCATCATGTTGGCTCTGCAATGATACAACAAAGCATTACACTTCAATACACCCAATAAATATATAATTGAAAAAAAAAATTATTTATATCATAAATCAACCTCAGAGGCCACAACCTCACTCTTGAACCATACACGCCGATAAGTTTTTCATATATTTATATCAGAAATTAACATAATTTACTCTAAAAGTGATAGTATGTAAACAAGCAGATAAAAAGAACCAATGCTTCATTTTCCCCTCATTATAACACCCAGATTCGTAAAATTCACATTCCATTAATTGTCTGATCCCTATTTACCCTACAAACATTGCATGTGATCCAAAATCTAATTCAGGAAGTGTGATACCCAATAATACCTGTGGAAAAAGCCTATTATAACACAGAAAATGAAATACAATTCGTGTTTATTGTGAAATGGTGTCAAATGAAACCTGTCAAGCTCACAAGACTAACCATCCTGTTTTTAGAGAGAGAGAGAGAGAGAGAGAGAGAGAGAGAGAGAAGACCTGAGGGATGGTAGCGACGGGAGGGCCAGACCTGAGGAGGAGCTTCAACAGGTAGAGCGCATCCAACGCCATCGCGCTCGAGCTTTCTTGGAACAGCCTATCATTTCATCAGCTGGTTTCCTCTTGCTCCGACTTGATCGGTCTCAGTCCGTGTCTCAATCCCGATGATCTTGATCCTTCTTCACTCCTCGGTCTCGTAACCCCGCAGATTTGTGCAACTTAACCGAACCATCTTCCTCTGCAAAATCATTAGAATCAGAATCAAGGAAAACAAAAAAAACCATCAAGAAATTTCAATCAAATTAATACAAGAATCGATGGATTTAGAATTAGATCTGAACAAGTGATCGGAATCAACCCTGGTGAACCTCTCAAGGGGCATGAGGAGACAGAGAAAACCCTAGATGTAGGACGGAGAGAGAAAACGATACAGAGAAATGGAAGAGAAAACGATATGACGGAAAGAGAAATGGGGACAAAGGAGACGGATCACCGTTATAAGGTGCAACACGCGTGTCTTAATTTCACTTTCGGTCTTTCACAGCGTTTTTCAGAAAAACGTTGCCTAAAAAACGTGGTAATAGGCAAATTTTGTTGTAGTGTGGTTAGTTGTCACATCAACGTCAGTCACTGTGCAACTCTCATTCCTTTTAAAAAAAATAAAAAATAAAAAGAATCAGAGATAAATCAAAATCTACTCGAGGCATGAGTACAAATAAACAAATAAATATATAGACAAACAGAGGCTACCAATATTTACTTCAAGGATTCAAGTCCCTACAACTGAATGACTGAAAATTAACACCGCTTGATGAAGCCCTATCTTTTACTTAATAATTGTGGATACAGGAAATGCATCAGAACTCAGTCCAAAAGAAAACTAAGGGAAATGCAAGATGTACTTTCCGAAAATCATTGAACTTCTCAGAGGGAGAAACAAGAGATAAGGATCAATGGGGTCACATGTAAAGGTTCAATTATCTACATTTTTGCTTTCCATGAAGAACGTAGTTAACGACATAAAACATATAGAATGGAGCAGGTTTGATATAATAAAACCTGATGCTAGCCTGACATTGATCAGGCCTTAAATTGATTCTGCAACTATCCTTTTGGACATTGTACCTGAAATACGTATCAGTTTGGGCAGGATGACCAGTATGCGAGAAAAAAGCTAGGAACTAAAATCCTTGAATTTGGCCAAAGCATCCTGATGGTTCCGCCTTTCCTCTTGAAGCTCGTTATCTAAATTTTCTGTTTTGGCACGCAAAAGATTCACTTCAGTTTGCAACTCCTCTGCACGTGTTTCAGGAGACTTGTATGACTTGGCCATACATTTCAGCTGTGTCTCAGCCAAGCTGTTCAACTTTTGAGCAGATGCCAATTGTGATTTAACTTCTGCCAGCAGCTGCACTGTTCCCTGTAGCTGAGCCTTGGTGCTTTCCAGATCCAAAACCATGTTATCTTTTTCTAATTTCAACTGTTCAAACTCCTCAAGCGAGCATTTCCATGATGTAGCATTTGATTCAAAGGTTGAAATGAAACTTCCTTCATTAGGAATGTCGGGATCAGAAGTGGAATCAGAAAAGTGAGCACAACCATTTGAATATCTGTCTCCTGATGTGTCCCGAACCACCTTATTTTCAGGTAAAGCGACCTTGTCTATGCAATAAGAACAATTGGTTTCTGCTTCATTATTCTTATAGCCCAGGACATTAAAGTGAAGTTCACCAGCTTTAATCAAAACACAACAAAGGTCAAGAACAAAATCAAGCAAACTTAATTTGCTGTTAATAACCTTATCGAAGGCAGCAGAGAACTTCTGAATTTTTTGGCTCAGTACATCCCCATCAGGAGATGTTCCCTGGACAGCCGTAGCTTCATTCCCCATAACCAATACAAAGTCATGAATTCAAGATACAGCAGCCACCAATTCTTTATTAATGGAACTATCTTTGGTTTGGACAAAGACATTTCCTTCTCTTCAGTTACTTCAGTCCCCTCAAAACAAACCTGCCTATCACAAGTGGCATCAGAGCAGTGACTTTCCATGAAAACGCAACCCATGGTGTGGTGATGCAGGCTATCCTGTGTTTCCTGCACAACACATCTGACGTCGTCCAAAATCTTTTTCATGTCAGCATCCTTGGACTCAAACAACTTGGAGATTTGCATTTGGAATTTCATTAAGGGCAGCGGATCAATATCAGATTGAAGATCTGGTACTAGCAATTCCGCATTAGACTCATGATTTGCTAACGAATCCAACTCAGGCTGTTCTTTTGAATGGAAATGTGGGTTGACTGTAGTATCTTGGTTTGCCATTTTAGATCTCATATTATTTGAAATATCTGAACCAGAGATGGCTCCATTTGAATCATTTGATGCCAATTTCTCCATCTCCAGGAAGTCATCCATAAGCTCCAGGTGATTTTCATTTTCAGCCTTGTTAGATTTCTCGATGTTCTTTCCCTTGAAATGGGAGAGCTCAGAGATCAATGTTGTAGCCCAAGAACCAGCACAACTTCTTTCATTGTCATTTCCATCTTCAGACATGGAGGTGAAGCTCGGTGTACTGATAGCATTTTGACTGAGGGAACCTTCAGTGGGGATCAGAAGACTAGATTTTGATGGACTTTCTTGTTGATTATTAGCATGCAGTTGTGATTCTAAAATTTGAAGCTTGCTGACTGTCTTAGCACAAATATTCCTGGAAGCTTGCAATTCATTAGTACACATTGCCAAAGTTTTTTTCAACATCTTTGTTTCTTCTTCCATTGCCAAAAGACGTTCTATGAGAAAATCATTCTCTTTATAGAATTTTGGTACACTATCAAGGGAAAAGTCAGGCAATTGGGTTGGGTGTGGACTAGGAGGCTTTAGAGGAGACCTCTTTACTCGAGTTTCTCCGTAATCCCGGCCCAAGTTCTCTACTTCTAACTTCATTTGAGCCAGTGCTGCAGAACCTGGCAACTTCTTCCGCACAAGACCACGCAATCTTTGGCACTTGCTTCCAGCTTAGCTATTTTCTTCACTCCTTCCAGATGCTTCTTGTTGGCTACTTCTGCAGATCTTACACACATTTTCTTTTCCTCATTGCTGTAACCATTCTGATTTGCCCTTAACTGTAAGCTATTAGCTACAAGTCGATCTTGTTTATTTATTTTTGAGTACTGTTTACGTAGTTCATATATATATATATATATTATATATGAATCAGATCAGAGAGGCGATAGCATCAGAACAGATCGGAGACGCGACAGCATATCTCTCTCGCGAGAGCGAGAGACGCGACGCGATTGATGCGAGAACGATCGACGCGATCGATGCGCGATCGATGCGAGAACGAGAGAGAGAGAGAGAGCAAGAGGAAAGGCGAGAGACAGGGACGAGAGAGAGAGAGACTTACGGATGGAGGTCAACAGGCGAGGCGAGTTGAGGTCGAGGTCATGGATGGAGGTCGACAGCCGAGAGGGAGAGAGTGACTTACGGTGGTCGACTGAATGGAGGTCGACAGGCGACTCGACTGGATCGAAGACCAGGTTTGTATCTTGACCTTTACTCTTCTCTTTTGCTCTTTATGTCCAGATTTGGACACGCGTGTCCAGATTTGGTGGACACGCGTGTCCCCGCCGTGTCCCTATAAAAAAAATAATTAAATTAGAGGGACACGCCATCCGGCGTGTCCCGTACGTGTCCCCGTGTCAGACACTGCCACGGCATGAAATCTGGCGTGTCCACGCTTCATAGGGTGAGTGTGGACTAGGAGGCTTTAGAAGAGACCTCCTTACTCGAGTTTCTCCGTAATCCCGGCCCAAGTTCTCAACTTCTAACTTCATTTGAGCCAGTGCTGCAGGACTTGGCAACTTCTTCCGCACAAGACCACGCAATCTTTGGCACTCTGCTTCTAGCTTAGCTATTTTCTTCACTCCTTCCAGATGTTGCTTGTTGGCTACTTCTGCAGATCTTACACACATATTCTTTTCCTCACTGCGGTAACCATTCCGATTTTCCCTTAACTGTAAGCTATTAGCTACAAGTCGATGTGCAGCATCACCTAGATGCCAGCCAGAAATGCTTCCAGGGGGATCTTGCCCGAAAGGAGAAAACCCCAAACAACAATTCTTTTAGAATATTAAGAAAACAGTGTCAAGTATCCATCAAGAGTAGAATCAATCAATTAAAAATTGGCACTTAAATGAAAAAACAATCTACTATACCTTCGATTTTCCCATGGCTTCCTTCCATTATCCTCGTGCCACAAAGCTGGATCAGGTTTTAGATCCCCTATCTCAACTGACTAAAAACAGACAATGAAAAAGACAACAGAATGTGAGCTTATTTATACAGCTTAAGGTACTGTCACAAGGTAAAAATGTCCAGCACCAGCAATTCCACATGCCCATTCCAATAGAAAACAAATAATAGCTTCCAATAGAATACAAATAATAACCTAGATCTGATAACCTCAAATTATAAGCCCACAGCTCACAATGTGGAACATTTCAGTGCTTATATGACAGCTTTACACCACAGTTATGCTTCTAATGTACATGAGAAATGTGGAAACTAAGCAGCCAGAACAACCATGAACATCATTGGTTAACAGAATTGCACAAACCAAATGCAGGTTAGCTAAAAGGTTTCGATGGTTTCCATAATTGAAGTTGCTAATTTCAGCTTATTCAGAACCTCTGGGCTAGTTGCTAATTCCCAATCACTACAGGACATTGCATCAAGGGTCAACTTTGCATCCTTATCTATTGGCATTAGCTATGGATGAATTAATTAAACACATTCAAGAAGATTCTAATACCGATCACTCATCTAGTCCATAACCCTTCAACAAATTCCAGAGGCTTCTCTGCACTTCCATATGTTGTGAACCATTTTAACTATCATTGTTATTTCAAATTGAAGCTAAATATTAGTTCCTGTCTAGCCTCTACACTTATTGTATGCAGTAAATAGTATACAAAATTCGGGAACCTTGCAGTAGAAGAGTGAACTTAAGAAAATGCAAGATGCATCTTTGAAGAAAATGTGACAATCTTTGTCAGTCGCCACTTGAAATCATGGCATTTAAACTTTGAAAGATTACTTACCTTCAAATGAGGCTTGCACAATTAGCCCTACAAAAAAGTTAGACAATGGCTTATCTTACCAACACTGTGTTAACATCTCATAGGCATAACATCAACAATTTACTGGACACAACAATCTACATTATCACTATTAATGTGCAACGGTTACTCAAATGATGCATGCAGCATTAAGGAGTTGGCTAATCTTCAGACATAGATACACTGCTTCAAGCCTCAGCCATTACAGAATGATAAAGATTCAATGCAGCAATGTGAACCTTCAAATCCCATTTGTCAGAGTGAAAACATTGAACTCAAACTTGCTTACAATTTCAATAGCTCAGGAGCTTCTTCCTCATGACAGTTCACAACCTTCATTAGGAACCACTTTTCAGGTTTCTTCAACATAGTTGTCAAGTTAAAACTGTTGTTCTTAATCAAACCTTTCGACAACAAAACTTGATACACTGCACACCTTGGAACAATCCTCTTTTCTAACCTAAAACCAATAAGTATCGGACTTCTTGCAAGAAATGAAGAATCCCAACCCATTTTATTGACAAAAAATTCCATCACTCTCATGATCTTATGCTTGGATGCCACCATACACCACGGATTCTTCTCAAAAGCCACAAGAATCTCATCCTCAGACCAACCCCACTTCTTAATTTATTATTTTCTTATATTTTCCTATACTTGGTCTCCAAATATTCTTGTTGACCAAGACTAGTACTATCCTAGTTAGTTAGTTCTTTTTATATTACTTGGTATCCAGGTATGATTGGTGACCAAGATTTTATGTAGTATAAATAGTTATGTAAGCCTAGAGGCAAAGGCATTCTCTATCAATATAATTTTCAAGTTACTCTATTTTGCTTGTGGATTCAAGGGTTTCTTTCTTGTGGATTCAAGAGTCTTTGTCTATTAGAACGATATCTAGTTTCGTGCGTATTCCGTTGTGTCAAGTGGTATCAGAGCCAGGTTTTGCCTAGCTCCATGGCACAAGACAGAGATGTAAACACGAACCCTACTGACAGTGATCATGGGATCAATGCTTTGTGGGAAGCATTTGAGAGACAACGACGACAGTTAGACGAGATTCGTGACATGGTTGAGGGGTTGACTCTCAACGCCAACAACAGACCACCAGCGGTTGATCGAGCGCGTGCTGAGGGAGTTGCCCAAGGCCAACCAATTAACTAAGATGAAGTTCACACCGCAAGAATTGCCTGAGGCCATCTTGTCCAAAACAACTTGAGACGTCCATGCTGGTATCAATCAGACAGTGAAGGTTCGAGCCAGAGGTTAAGGAGGAGTGCGGAGGTCATCAACCAAGGAAACAACAACAATGGATCGATGAGTTGAAGATTGGTATTCCTTAATTCAATGAAAATCTACATATTGAAGATTTCTTGGATTGGATCTTCGAAGCTAAACGATTCTTCGAGATGATAGAGGTTTCAGAGTCAGATAGTGAAACTAGTTGCATACAAATTAAAGGGAGGCGCTGCAGTTTGGTGGGACCAATTACAAAGAATTGGACAACGATAAGGAAAAGACCCAAGTTGGACTTGGCAACATATGAAGCAACTTCTCATGGACAAATTTCTACCATCGGACTCTGAGTAATACTTATTCCAACTTTATCAAAATTGCGTACAAGGGTCCAAATCTGTGTTTGACTACACTATTGAGTTTTCTCAAATTTCATATCGCAACAATCTGAATGAAACAGAAGGACAATGAGCAGCCAAATATCTCAATGGGTTGAAGCAAACCATTTGAGAGAAGATTGGTTCGATAGTTTTGTGGACCGTGGACAAAGCACACAATATGGCTCTCAAAGTTGAGTTGTTGGAGTGCAAACCAACATATTCAGGGTATCAACGGACAACTACAGATTCTTCTTTTTCTACCTCTGAAAAAGGAAAAGGAGTCCAAACGTCGACTGCTACAAACCAACCCAAGGGTGCTAGTGGTGGAGGCAATAACCAAGCGACAAGTTCAATGGCTAGAGAAGCTCCTAAAAATCCGAACTCTTATGCTAGGCCGACAACGGACAAGTGGTATAGGTGAGGCAAACCTGGCCACCGTTCCAATGTTTGTCTAGAGCAAAAGCCAGTCAACCTAATGGAAGAAGATGATGAGTTTGGAGCTGATGAAGGTGTAGAAGATGATGATCATGATCTTTACGATAGGGCTAAGTTTACCATAGAGGATGGAGAACGAGTCAACTATGTGGTCCAACGAGTTTTATTCACACCAAAGACGGAGGATTTTAATCAGCGCCATAATATTTTTCGATCATGTTGTTCAGTCAACCAAAAATTACATGATTTGATTGTAAATAGTGGGAGTTGCGAGAACTTTGTTGCGAAGAGATTGGTGGAACATTTGAAACTACAAACCAAGCCACATCCCAATCTTTACAACATTAGTTGGATCAAGAAAGGCCTGACAACAAAGGTAACTGAAATTTGCCAAGTTTCTATTTCCATTGGCAAGCATTATAAAGAAGATGTCGTTTGTGATGTGATTAATATGAATGCTAGTCATATACTTTTAGGTAGACCTTGGCAATTTGATGTGGATGTCAGATTTAAGGGACAATACTAATTTGTTTATGTGGGGAACTCATAAAATTGCTATGGCTCCTTCAACACAATAAATAGTGTCCAAACTGCCTAAAGTAGATGGACAGTCTTTTCTCACCATGGCTAGCTCAGAGGTTGAGTTTGTGACAGATTTTAAAGCTTCAGAAGAGATTTATGTGATGGTTGTTAAAGATCTAGTGGAGGAAGGAAAGAAGAAAGCAGTGTTACAGATTCCAGAGAAAATACAACCATTGCTTGAGGAGTTTAAAGAGCTCGCTGCTGATGAACTACCCAATGAGCTACCACCGATGAGAGATATCCAACATCAGATTTATCTTGTACTAGGAGCTAGTTTGCCCAACTTACCGCATCACAGGATGAACCCAAAGGAGAATGAGATGTTGAGGGAGAAGGTTGAAGAGTTGCTACAGAAAGGCCATATTTGTGAAAGCTTGAGTCCATGGGTCGTTCCAGCTCTTTTGATGCCAAAGAAAGATGGAAGTTGGCAAACGTGTGTTAACAGTCAAGCTATCAACAAAATCATCATCAAGTACAGATTTCCTTTTCCAGGTCTTGAAGATATGCTTGATATGCTTGAAGGTTCAAAATGGTTCTCAAAGATTGACTTACGAAGTGGGTATCACCAAATTAGAATACAACCGGCAGATGAATGGAAAACGACATTCAAGATCAATGATGGCCTATACGAGTGGTTGGTTATGCCATTCAGACTTTCCAATGCTCCTAGTACTTTCATGCGGGTTATGAATTAGGTATCGAAGTCATTTACTGGAAAATTTGTAGTTGTTTATTTTGATGATATATCCTAAATTATAGGAAATTTGAGAGGGACCATATAGAGCATTTTGCGGCAAGTGCTAACAGTTTTGCAGGAGAACAAGTTGTTTGTTAACCTCAAGAAGTGCAGTTTCATGACAAGTAGTATATTGTTCTTGGGGTACGTGGTTAGTTAGTTCAAAAGGTATTCATGTGGATGGAGAAAAAGTTCAAGCCATCCGAGAATGGCCAACACCAAAAACTGTCAGTGATGTTCGAAGCTTTCATGGGTTGGCTACATTCTACCATCGATTCATCCACAATTTTAGTTCAATCATGGCACTAATCACAAAGTGCATGAAGAAAAGGGAAGTTCTTTTGGGGAGAAGATGCTGAGAAGAGCTTAGCTTTGATTAAAGAGAAGCTTTGCACCATGCCAGTACTAGCTCTACCTAGCTTCGAAAAGATTTTTGAGGTGGAGTGTGATGCTAGTGGTGTAGGAATTGGAGCAGTTCTTTCACAAGAGAAGAGACTAGTGAATTTATTTAATGAAAAGTTAAGTGAAGCCCAACAAAAGTGGAGTACCTATGACCAAGAGTTTTATGCAGTGGTGCGAGCTCTCAAGCGTTGGGAACATAAGCAACATGCATGTCAGATGGTCTACATTTCTTTAGAAGTTTCCTTTCACCATCCGGCACAAGTCAGGGACTTTGAATCGAGTTGCAGATGCGTTGAGTCGTCGTGCAAATTTGCTTGTTACATTGACCCATGAGATCGTGGTATTTGAGATCTTGAAGGAGCTTTACCAAGAAGATGAAGATTTTAGAGAGATAAGGGGTAAATGT